CTATATGGGCGCTGGATTCCCACATGGCTGACCATGGTTAAAGTCTCGGACCTGGTGGCTTGCTTTCTCAATTTTTCTCTCCCTCTCCCTCTCCCTCTCTGGTCAAATTGAAATAAACAAATGAATAAATAAATAAAGTTAACTGAAAAAAATTTTTTAAGTATCTATAAATAAATAAACAGTAAGAGTGGAACACAGATTAGGCAAAACCACGAAGAAGAACCAGACGTGACTGGCGTTAGGAAGCCACGGAGCGCCCCGCAGTTGGCTCCGTGGATACCGAGAGCACTGGGTGGGGGCTCCTACCTTGGCCGTAGCGTGGGCGCGGACCTCGGCGCTGCCGGTGATGTCCAGGGTGTCGTAGAGCTGCTCGTACACCTGGGCGAGGGCGCAGCCGCGTCAGGGAGCCCCCAATCCCCTCCGTGCTTAGACGCAGGAGTCCAAGCCCCCAGGCCCCCTCCTCTCCCACCCACGGATCCGCCTCACCCGCACAGCCTGAGCTGAGGAAACTACAACTCCCAAGGAACCTCGGAGCGGGTCGCCTTGGGAGCTGCTGGGAGGCGTAGTTCCTGGGCTCGGTGCAACCAGGAGGAGGAGGGCTGGGGCCGCAGGCTGCGCCCCGGCGCCGCTCGGCTCTCACCTCGCGGATGGCGGAGCAGAAGCGGCTCTGGTCCCCGCTCGCGGCCCTGAGGCTTCGGCGGGGGCAGCTCCCCGCTGCGCTGGAGCCGCTCGAGGAGCTCCACCGCCCGGGACACGTCTGCGGGGCGGGGGCGCGGAGACGTACAGTCAGAGACGCGAACAAGCAGAAGACCAGAGATGCCGCAAGAGGTGGAGTAAGGGCCAGCGCAGACAGACCCCGGGAAGGACAGCAGAAGCCCAGTCCGACATCCCGCAGAGGCAAGGCTAGCAACGGCGGCCAACAGGGCGTCCTCGGTCCCCAGGACCCCCGACCCGCATACACATACACGCACAGCAGGGGCGTGCAGCGAGCTCACCCATGGACCCTCTCACACCCACAGAC